ATGTAACCATAAGCTTCTGCTATCTTTTGCTTTTGGGAACAGTTCGAACTACACACAAATTTCATATTTTGGTTACAGTATATTACAGAACTTGCATAGTCATACCATCTGTTTTCATTGATCTGTTGTTTCTACCATAGCATCCATGAAACATGTGGGATTTCTTCTATATGAAGACAAGGTTCGCTTGAGGAAAAAGATTTAGATGCCAGTCACTTAGTACATGAGTGATTCCTGAGGTAGCTGTGTGAAATAATTGCTGAAAATAATTCAGCACATGTGAAGCCACCACGACACTTACTGATACAGAAATATAAAGGTCAATATGCATCAGTTATAACAGTTGAAAATAACAAATACATCAGGAGCTTCAGTAATGGTTGGTGAGTGCTGGGTGGTGTATATTTCCATAAGTTAATTGTCAAAGGTGGCTGTCTTCTGGGTTGTTGCACTATGTAGTCTGGTAGAGATTTACTGACATTTCAGAGGTCCTTGCTGCCTCCATGATTAGGGTGATGATGGAGACATCAAGGACCCCTGAAATGTTGGTAAACTTCTACCAGACTACATGGTGCAATGACTCAGAAGACAGCCATCTTCAGACTCACCACTGTAAAAACCTCGTCCTACAAGTTAATTGTCATATATTGGATGTTTGCAGCTATATGTTGACTCCAACTGGTTTGAGTTCCAAGAACTGGAATGGAACGTGAAGACTAACATTGTTGTGTTCCACCACCAGGTGGCCACGGCGCTGTGATGCACCAACCACAAGGACTGTCTCTCCTTGAAGCAAAACTACTTCTCCACTTGCATCCTCTGAAATTATATGGACAATGTGCATCAAGAGGCAGGTAAAATATAGAAACAATATGCATTTTTGACATATGGCTTGCACCTGACACATTGCATAAGTAGGCTAAACTGACTTCATAGTACAAAGCCCTCCTTGAGAAGTTTATAATTACTGAGCTGGTATAGAAATTCTTTACTGTATAAATGCCCAAGGGTTGACCTCCATGTTTAAGAATGCCACCAGTGCACCCAGTTTTAAGTCAATTAAATCCACCCCAAACCTACACACCCCATTTTTCCAAGATCCATTTAATGTTATCTTTCTTCCAATTCCAAAGCCTAGAAAGTGGTCTTATCCCTCGAGTTTCTTTAAAAAAACCATGATGTTTCAGCCTCCAAAACGTTGTGGTTTTTTTAAAAGAATAGACGATGGTAAAAGACCTGATAATGAATAATTTTAAAGATTGAGCAAGCTTACCTGGAAAAGGCATCTTCATGACCCTGGTCTGTGGATAACCCAACTTGGTGTTGCCTGTTACAGTGTAAGGGCGGCTTGGGGGTACTGGTGGCGGACGTTCCTGAAAACCAACATATTGCAGGTGAGAAGCAAAAATTCTCTAGGCATCAAATTTACCAAATTATGTAAAACTGTTGTTATCATTATGTAGGAATAATGTTTAGTGATCAGTGACTCAGATCTAAGTAAAAACTGTCTGTGAAAACTTACAATTCAAATGTTTTTGTTTTATCTGACAGGATACTTTTGGTATGAATATCATTCAGCTGTGTCTGTTATGTGTTCTTAGCATGAAGTGCATAAAACAAAATCATATTGAGAAGGTTGTATCAGTCTGTACAGCAATTGTATCTGCAATCAGTAAACATGAAGGCCATTCAGAAAATAGCAAGGAATGAATTTGGAAAATTTATTTATTCCATTCAAGTAACCTTTCTATTCTTGCTGTTACTGAAATTTCCTATGTGGTAAGTCTTTCATACCAAGTCCAGTCCAAAAAGTGTGCAGGTTTGCTGGATCATTTTATGGTCACATTTCTCTGCTGGATCTGGAGGTGGCGTGCCAGCAATGGGTTGTGGACGTGGCCGTGTGGAGGATGCCCCTGCTGTAGGTGCCCCAGTACCAGTTCCTGTCACAGTCACTGCTGTCCGGGTCTGCTGCACTGAGACAACAGCTACACTTGTATTGGCCACTCCAGGCAGAGTTCCAGTTGCTGACACTGCTGTCTGCTGCTGTAGTTCCAGACTGCGCCGAAGTGCTGGCCATCGTCGCCTCAAGTGCCATCCTCGCCATGTTGCCTGTATCAATACGGCTGCTCTGTGTCGAGTTCCACTTCGTAAGGTCTCCAATTGTTGACGAGCTCCTTCACTGTGTCAGTAAGTGACATGAAGTATTGTAATGTTTGCTTTTGCTTATTATGCCACAGCTATTAGGTTGCTTTAATATAACTTGAAAAAGTCTCATTTGTTCAAAACTCAAAACAAAAAAATGTGTTTGTTTATGGAATATGAAAAATCCTTCATGGCTTTAGCTAGTTTCTAAAAAGAATATCACAATTTAGAGATAAACTGATGTTTTATTGAATTCCATTTTGCAAAACAATTAATGAAGTTTCTAAAACACTGAATCCTACATAATAATTAGACACGTGATTTTAGGACATGTGAAGTACTTACTTGAAGAAGATGTGTGTCCTAACAGGAAAGGGTGGAACAAAAATTAAAAGTTACCATTTTGGGGAAGAAAATTATAACACAAATATTGTATGAGATGATGATGCATTATTCACAGAAACATGGAATAGAAAATTAACCTGTAAGTAGGAGCCAGACTGAATCATAGCAGGCCTAGCATGTTCTGATTATCTTTAAAAGGAAATAAGAACTCTCATTAAATCAGTTTGAAGCTTAAAATTACACTTTTGAATTATGCTAGATTATCGGCTGTGCCAGACACCTCAATTAAATAACTCATCCTGAAACTCAGAAATTTTATCTCACCTGAGGAAGATGTGCCGTTTCCCAAGCGCCCAGCTGTTGCTGACTGCACACTGACGCAGCTTTGGCTGCTCCTCCATGGCCTGCTGCAGACACTGTAGTATGAGCTGACAGTCATCCATAGCCTTGTCATCAGCACGACGCAGTTTCCTGAATGGTGCCAACAAACGGTAGCGCAAGTTGAATGCCTTGAAGCGCATCCGATGAGGGTAACCTGTTTATCAAGAACATGGAGGATCAGTTCTAAGAACAGATGTTATATACTCCACATAGATCATATATGATAAATGATGTAAACAGGTGAGACAGGACTGAACCCCTTACTTTCTAGGAAACAGATGTAAAACTATAGCTAAATTGTGCGCTGTGAGTGAAGATTTTATTTCACCACTGATTTTGGGAAATACATCTTCTGCTGTTGACCTTCAGTCAGTTGTAAGTATTTGGTAAAAGTGTGTAATACTATAAGGTTCAGTTTAGGCAGGATTCAACAAGGGAAAGTATCAAATGAAAGAAATTGCACAATGCAGATTGACTGAATACATTGCATTAATGAAACATACAAGATCCATGAATGACCACAGGAAATGAAAATGAAGGGATGAAATCTGTGACACTCAAAGTAAGTGGTACAAGAGGAAGAAGCAGGGGGTGTGAAAAAGGATGAAGGATAAGAGCAAGAGGACGTGGAAGAAATAAAAAGAAAAGAAAGAAGAAGAGAAGTGATGGTGGTGGTTGTAGTGGTAGAACAAAGAATGACATATCTCTCAGATGCCCCAGTTACCAGAATTCATGAATATTTCATTATTATTCTGTTGTTGTGTGGGTGAAGGAAGAATTAAACTACAGAAACATATGAACATACCTCCAGCCATGAGATTGACAGTTTCTAAAACTTGTAGTGAACGAATCTGCCTCATGACACTTGCACGTTCAAAGCGCCCAGGTGTCTCACTGGCATTGCTACAGAGGCAGCGTACAAAGTGTGGCCGTGCGTGGACTAGTGTTCTCAGCAAGTTGTCCAACCTTGTGTGGAAGTCTTGGGTGAGTGTGGACACTGGTTCATCTCCATTCAGCCTGTAACACAATTCTATATGTTTTTTGGGATAGTTTCTTTACAAACTTTATATTACAATGAACTTATTCTGTTTCTCTTATTATTCTTTTCTTTTCATGTCCATGAAGTGAGTAATTTATGATACCTCAGACAGACATATAGAGTTAATTATACCATAAGCCTACTCTCTTGTATCCATGGCAACTTACAGATCAGTGTGAGAAGTGGGGGATATCCTGAAACTGACTCCTCGTGGAACAGTTTCAACTGAATACAGAGCTTTCAGTTCACTGCCAAACAAGTGTGTGGCAAAACCAAAGTTGCAGCTGTGTTTGTGAAACACAGCCACCAAGTCATCCGGCACTACATCTTTGTTTGTGTCTGGAAGAAATCACATCAAATGTATGAAATATATTACCATACACAATACCAATGTCTAAAGCACAGCAATTACACCACACCTTTGGGAATCTGTTATCCTGTATGGCAGTTATAGGTTAAGATAGTATGTTTCTGCGGTAAACTGGACAACTAAATAAATAAGGATCAGTGAAAGGAGTTGTCAAAGAAAAGTCTAGGAGTTTATCTTTGAGGAGCTAATAGAATAAGTAAAGAGAAGGGAGAGAAAAACTACTGAATGCATAATATGTATATGTATGCATGTCAGAGAGCTGTCTGGACTTGTGAGCGTAGAAGTAAATGGGGAATGGTGGATAATATATAGGAAAGAAAATCTGATGTCATACATCAAATGTACTCAGGGAAGAAAAATTTAGTGTTAAGGTGATTTATTTTGTTTGTATCAAGGAAATTTCTACATTTTCTGAAGTGTTTGAAAAATAAAACTGAACACACTTTATGTTGTTCAGATTGGCCTTGGTTTGTTGTAATGGCATTAACTAACTGAGGAATTAATTTTGTTTAAATATGCAGCTGAGTTATGCATGATTTCCCCACTTATTCATTTTGATATGTGTAGCAGTTTTCTGGAACACATCCCTAATATAAATTTAAGATGTCCTATACTGTGTAAAATATTTGAACTTGAGAAACTGGTAAAACTTGAAATTAGCTTACCTAGAAAATCAGATGCATCATACACGACCCGTCCAGCAAAATGCTGGATACCAAATGTGCGGGGCTCTAATGGCTTGGGTTCAAAGAGCCGTGGATTCTGCTTGTGTTGGACTTTAACTTTGGCAATATATGACTCTGCTGTGCCACGAATGGAGCACTCTACATCCAGCATGCTTAGCAGACCTGTGCGCTGCAAGCCAAGATTGAATTTATATACAGCTGTGCTTTCTTTCAACATAATTTGCATGTGTACCTTTTTGTGATATCTGATAGTTTATGTTACATACCAGTGAAGAGATGAGGTCAATACAGGGCACATTATCCACATAATCCACTTCTACCTCACAGTGAATACCTTCATCTCGACATGACTCAATACTCGATTTGAAAATGTGCGTGTTGTAGAAATGCTGCATTGTCTCAGCACAAAGGTTAATGCACAGATGCTCCAACTGACTTGGCTGCAACATGAGGACAGTGTTTGAGTCAGTGACAAAATCTGTGGTTTGAGTGAAACAGGAGTCTCATATTACTGCATCTAGTATATATTCAGATATATAATTTCTGACTATGCATTAGAATGTTTGTGGTGTGACAACATATTTAAATTGCAGCAAATGGTCATCAAAGCTAGTAATATATGAAAAGTTACATACATTGCATTTGGAAAATACATGGACCTACTAGTATCCCATTTCAGTTTAACTCCTTATCCTTCTTTCCAGTACCCTGATTTTCAGAACCTGATCTGTAAAGTATTTTAAAGGGAAATTGTATGTTCCTGAATGTGCATACATCTCATTTGTTGTTGATATCATACCCACTTCATGAAGAGAGCAGATATAACTTTGTTCGATTAATGTCTACTTAACTGAAGACTGGGATTTTATGGTAAGAGATGTGTTTGAACCTTACTCCTGCTCAGAATTTTAAAATGATGTCAACTCACTTTAGGATCCTCGAAACCAAACATGTCAAGGATTCCAATAAAACCATCTGTAGCATGGCGTACAGCATTGTTGAGGGCTGCCATGGACTTGCTTGACTTGGAGCCAGCTGTCCCAACAGTGGAGGCATGTTGGCTGGCAATCTGCAGCATCCCGATAAGAGGAGAAAGGTATGTCAGCTGAATCAAACTGTGGCCTTTCTTTCAGAAACATATTGCAAGATACAATGTAGAATCTTCTGGATTCTAACATGTCAAAAGAAGTTTCTAACGTTATGGAGTGTATGTAGAAAATCAATTAGACATTTGTGAGCTGTGATAAGGCAGTCAAAGTAAATAAAATGTGTTTCAGACTTAACAAAGAATATAGAAAAGTTTCTTATTCAGGATTTAGTCTAGAATGACCAGTTTTGTTTGGTCAAGAAGGTACAGAAAGGTGGAATATATTATGGCCTGAATAGAAAAAAAGAAAAGAAAAAAAAAAGACTTTCCATTCTGTCTGAAACACAGTGTAGAGGAAGCTAGCAAGGAATCCAAGTTACAATTGATCAAGTAGCTAAAGGAAATTGGAATGTCTTCTGGACTCAATGGAGAGAAGAAAATACAGCCTGTTCTCCTTCTTTTCCATTCCACTTTCCCTGACCTGCCTGACCAATCACAGCTCTCAATTTCTTCCTAATTTCTATTGGACTGTACATCACAGAAGGTGCTATTTTATATAGATACTGTAATCAGAAACTTAAACCTTAAATTTTAAGAAACTTGCACTCACTTCAGCTTGGTTGTGGACTGATTCATTGGAATCAGAGCTCAGTGTCCCAAGTGTGGACCCAAGACGCTTGAGACTATTTGCCCTTCGGACAATTGTAGCCACAGTTCGACAGTACAGTGCTTTAGCTAGGGAATCACGAGTCATGTTTGACTGGAACACAAGAACAATGTACTTCAAAAGAATATCAATAACAAGTAATAACCTGGTTTACTGAACATGTGTCAAGGTTAGTTCAAGCAGTAATTTAATCCATTAATTGTGCATCCCACTTGAAAGACTATCTTGATATCAGTTATATGTGCTTCTTTCACTCATTGTTTAAAACATAACACATAAAGTACAGATGGCATCTTAATGATAGGAAGATCAAGTCCATTCATACAACCACCAATCTGCATATTTAATCTCTCAAACTGGTTAATGGATTTTGATAGAATTTGGTATGAGAAGTCTGTAGTACATGGGTCTTATTACGCTACATTGTATTCTGTTATGACCCACCATATTTGCATCACAGACAGATTTGACAAGTTGTCCGCGTGCATTGTGTGTACGTGAAGTGAGGCCACGGAAGAGAGCGACTCCAGACACTCCAAGTAGGCTTGCTACTGCCTTAAGTTCTGCATCACCCTTCACATCCACTTCAAGACCCTGTCCATCAACAAACTGTACATTGCCAAGCAGCAAAACAGCTGCTAGTACACGTACAACATCGAGGAATGGGATTCCCAGCACACCTGAATGGAAGACAAACATTAACTTTCTGAAATAGAGTATTTAGCACATTTGAATGTAACACATTATTTGAAATGGGATAACCAATGGCAAATTTCATTTCCCAGGGACTACAAGAACCACAAATGTGTCTTTCATTGATGTAAATAACAATGAAATCAGAGGCTGTTGGTACTAAATTGAGACTTTCAGTTTCATCTGTGCACAGACAGCTGTGGTTTTGTAAATCTCTGACTTTCTATATGAAATACATTCTACTTTTCACATACTGTACAGAAATTTAATGGGTACCTAAGCATGCTTTCCATGCCTGAAATCTAGCTGCATCTTCTGCTTCATCTTGGCGAGTATCACCACACTGTAAATAGCGTAAGTTGTGTGGAGAGTAGCCTTCCAAACTCAATTTTGCTGCAACATACAAACGATTCATATAAATTTGTGATCTTGGTAAAGAAATTCTTTATTACATTATTCATTCAATCTGAAAACTTTAACAAATTTCTGAGAATATTAAATATTTTAATATTTCTAAATCTGGATGAAGAGATTAACATTTCAGGAACTTGTGTTTTTGATAATATCTGAGGGAATTTAACTGACCACTCAAGTAAAATATTTGTGATATGGAAGAATTCTGGAATAATATGAAAAGCATTACAACTGTTGAGAGATTAAAAAATTACTTTCTCATAGAGTTCATACCTCAATTATACTTTGGTTCAGAGCATTTTGCTGCACCAAGGAAAAAGAGATGATGCCAGTATATTCTGTGCTAGTAATTGTAAAAGAGCACTGTTTATAACAAGCAAAATGAAACACCATTACCGAATGCATACATTTATGTACCAGGTACAATTCTGCTGCTCAGGTGATTACACACCATTTTCTGGGATCAAAGAGTCATGATAAATTCCAAACCAATTAACAAGCATGTGGATTTAGTCCTGTCTCTCTGTCGTTTGTTCCATATTTACAGAGTTCAGTGATGATTTTGTCCTCACTTAATGGTACCTGCACCTTGTCGTGGTGGCGGGGCTTGAGTACCTCAGTGGCGGTAGCATAGCATAGGGCCTCCCTAGCCAGACTGGTTGAGAGGGAGAGGTCAGACTAAGACAGGTACCCTGGTCCTCCAGGTTGGGGGTTGGTCGCAAGGCTAACAACCTTGCACCGTAAAAAGGAAGGTTTTGAAACCTCAATCAAAGCCTCGGACAGTGGACCTAACAGAGGACCGAATGGAAAAGGAGAATTGAGGAGGCCGTGGACCAAATATGGACCGGAGAGCCATAGAAGAAGAGTGATGATTTTATTTTATTTTCTGAGTTCATTGCACATACTTATCATCTGCATCACCCTACCAACATTTCTGCCTCTGCATGTAATATTATATGTATATGACTAAAGGAACATGAAGATGCCTTGATTAGTGTACAGTAAATCTAAACATTAGTTGGATTACCTCGTTCTTCTTGTGTAAGACCTGCCAACATCTGGTAGAAAATGTGATAGTTCTTTTCATTAGGGAGTGGCCTAATAACTCGTGTCTGATCCAGGAAGTAGCAGTGAATCTTGGTCCTGTAGAGAGCTCCGTCAGTCACCTGCACCTCAATGAAGTGGCCCTCAACAGACAGAACATGACATTGAAAGTTGAGGATCTGCTGTTAAAAGTCATCAAGTTTGGTAGCTAAGTCTAAAGGTTTCTATTACTCTTTTTACTTCACATCCAGTGCCATCTCTTTGAAAGCACAAGTCTGAGACATCAGCCTTATACTGGCACAGGAACTGTAGGACTGTTCTTAGGGTGCAACTGCTTAGCCCCAGATCCTACATTCCTCTAGGTACATTTATGAGAAACTTTAAATAGTACTCTGGAATACTGTTCGAACATTTATGATATAACAATAAACAAAGTAAGGGCAATGTTAATTCCCCAAACTAAAGGAGTGTGTTAAATGTGTTTCCAGAATTATTGCATTATACCACAATGATTTATGTACCACTATTCAGTTACTTATGTATATCATGTGCTTACTATTCGACTAGATTCAGAGTTAGAGGCCGTCTTGGCAGATCCGAGGGAGCGGAGAACCGTGAACGCGGCAGCAAGATGTTTAAAGGCATCAGTTTCTGGGCCACCACCTGCCACGTCAAACAGCTGACGTAACAAAAGCATGGACGCATATGTCTTCCCTGATCCACTTGTCCCTGAATCAACAACAGTAGAAATATATTCTCCAGTGTTATTAGGTGATTGTTACAAGTGTTTAAAAATTTGTTTTAAAAAACTAATCGTGTAACAGAAGTATCAGCTGAAATAAGAAGTAATTGAAAATGCACTTTTTAAATTGGCAACTTGTGACATATACTTCCAGGTCTAATTTGAACCCGCTGGCCTCTGTTTCCCTGGCAAGGGTGAAAGTAAGGAATACTCTCAGTCAGAAATAGTTGTGTCGTCTCACCTGAGAGAATGATGGCTTGTGGGTATCCTGTCTCTGACTGCTGTCTCACCGCTTCCTGCACAACCCTGAGCAGTTTGGGGCTAAGCACAACCCCTCGTGTGCTGGTCAGAGTTAGTGGGTTGCCCACGTCACTGTATGGGTTCACTGACAGTAAAATAGGGCCCACATTTGTCTGCAAATAGTGCAATTATTTTTACCATTTGTTATATCTGAGGAGAACTAAATTAAATCTCCCTATGGATACAGGAATGACTTTATCCATTGACATAGGAACATGTCGTAATTCAGAATTTGTCTAGATACATATTTCAGGTTAATAACCGCATGGGTATTATGTTCTTTGTTCACTTACAATACACATCCTCCAACCCTATTTCTCTGCAATCCATTTTAATATTATCCTCCCATCTATACCTAGGTTTTCCAAATAGTCTCTTTAGTGTAGGATTTCCAGTAACATTTTGTACATACTTCTTATCTCCCCCATGTGCACTACATGCTCGACCTTGACTTGTTCCTCCTCAATTTGTTTACCCTAATAATATTTGATGAAGCGTACAAGTTATGCAGTTCCTCATTACAAAATATTCTCCATCTTCCTGTCACTTCACTCTTAGGTCCAAATATTCTCCTAAACATCCTTCACACAGTTTAATTTTTGATATTATTTTAATATAAAATACTGTAAAATGAAGGTTATAAGTTTTATTAACCCTCTACAGTATAAAATTCATATAGATAATATTAAAAGCTTGTTTAATCACCAAAGAGATCGTATATCAGAAATTAAGATGGCTGTCTTCTGGGTTGTAATGCTGTGTAGTCTGGAAGTATACCAACATTTCAGAGGTCCTTGCTGCCTCTATCATCAGGGCGAAGAGTGGTAAAATTTTACCAGACTACATGACTCTGCAATCTAGAACAGTGGTATTCAACCTTTTTTGTTCGCGTACCCCCCAGATATAATTTCTCTTCAACTTTGTACCCCCAAAGTTGTTGGTGTATAATTCAAGTTATACATAGTATATAATCTACATCTAAAATAAATTAAATAAATTACATTATTGATTATTCAGTGTTTATCATAAAATAATATTTTTTTTTAAATTTTACGTACCCCCTAAGATGTCTTAGCGTACCCCAGGTTGAATACCACTGATCTAGAAGACAACCATCTTTGTACTCACCACCATGAGAACCTCAAATGCAAATATCAGAAATTGCTTATAACGTACGTGGTTTTTGTTTTTTCCTTGTGCGTAAATAAATAGCCCTACAAGATCTATTGGTAAGCCATTTATGTAACAATGAATCAGAATCTATAATTTTCTTCTATTATTTCGCAGTTGTCTAAATGTAAGACAAGTAAAATGTAAACAAAGGGAAGACAAATCATTGTCACTGAGTGCCCCAATCCTATGGCAGTGACAACTAGGACTTCAGTATTCCGGGCTTCGTCTCCTCCACGGTCTGCTCTCTCTCTCTCTCTCTCTCCAAAAGGTAAGTTTTCTGCTTTGAGTTCTGATCAATGGGTTTGTTTGCTTTTGTAATTAGATGCTTTGTGTTTTAAGAACGAACACAGAAAATACTGTGAAGAATGTAGCATGAGAGTCCAGATGCACTATGAACGTTTTGTCTGTGTGTTAATTGATCTGAGAGGATCGTGGAAAGAGGTTTACAAGGATTACTTTGAAAAACAAATACAGACGAGGTCTCTGTAGCAGGTTCTCTCTTACTGTTTAACCAACCATACACGAATTCACATTCAAATATAATATAGAACAAGTCTGCAAAGAAACAGGTTCACAGCAAACATGCATTTAAAACACAGGCATTCTTTGCAGCATTTCACGGAAATGACTGAAATTGAGAGTTTGACGAACAACAGAAGCTGTAGGTTTCGAAGTCCAGACGTTGCGGTGCTGTTGTTACCACTACATTTTTTCGTATTCGGGAAATCTGACGTTGGATTTTCGATCTAATTTCCAGCATTCTAAAATGTTAGTAGTATATCTCAGTCCCTTCATGCTAATTCTGAGGTATGTCTTAAAATATGCTACGATTGATTTCTGGGCCAGTTTAATCCAGTTTACATCATCAAATCTATTTATCTGATTCCCATTTTAACGTTATCCTTCCTTATGTATAAACGTCTTTTAAGTCATCTCATGGTTTAAGGAGTTTTGTAAGCATTTGTTCCCCTAGTTGTGATCTCGTTTTTGGAAATTTCGAAACGTATTTTTGATAAAATTAGTGGCAAAAGACACAAGAACAACTAATAAAAATCAAATATATGCCATATCTCAAATAATAATAGTACACATATCGGTCAATAGGGTATGACGTCAACAAAAGTAAAGCACAGGGTTGGACGATCCGGTCCTAGGCCGAATTCTTTCAGTTGGAATCGGGATTTCTTCTTGTGCGGGTCTGTGGTAGTGAAAGTGTAAGTTGCAGTAAAATGGTGGTTTCATCAATTTATTAATTTTGAAGGGAGTTTTTAAAAGTGAATTTGTTAGGATTCTTAATTTTGCGAAGATTTTTAGCAGCGATAATATTTAACAGTAGAAGAGAATTTTTTAAAAAAATAATTAAAGCAATAAATTTGTATTCGCTAATTCAGTACAACCGACTGAGTATTGGAAGTTAAGAATAATTGCGTTTTATAAAACGGTAGAATTCCTACACAGAGTTTAATTAATGTAATAATTTTAAAATCAACTTAACCATAGTATTTTCGTAACGTAGTTCAGATCAGTGGAATAAGGACAAGTTTTCTAAATTTTGACTAAACTGACTAAATTATGTTGTAAGTAATAACCGTTCGCAGCTCAAATTCTCTAATTCAGCGTATATCAGCGGATTATTATAGCGTACTGTAAAATGCAATATAAGAATTATCCGGAACAGATAATTGGGAAATTGCAAATTTCGTCGAAAACTATTTCACTACAGTCGTAAGATTTACAGTCAAATTATCATTGCAGTAGGAAATCATTCGATGTACTACGCTGAGGTTCACACTGCACTAGAGTAAAACATTTCGTCAAATACCTCCGAAGAACTCATTCGTAAAACGTGCACGAGGCACAGTTGAACAGAACTGGGATGGAAATCAGGAGCTTCTACGCAAAACGAAAAGCTTTAGGGACACGTGGACTAGTAAAATGCAGTTTTATTTCATCGAAAATCCGGAACCTGGAACGAAAACTTTATAGATTTATTAGGAAAAATAAATGTAGCTAATTCGTGCGGGATGATCCCGTTTAAATTATTCCCGAAACAAAGTAATGCTAACGTTGTTCACCACAAAAATTTGAATTATATATTATATATTTTAAAAGGTAAAAATTACTAATGATACGTTTTGTAATAGAAAATAGAAATGGCTAGTTTATACTTTAACAACCACGACATTTCGGCTCTAAATCTGAAGTATTTAAGAACGTGCCTTTGTAAGGAGTATTTGACGTTTCCTTCAAAGAGTCAGAACAGATCCAAGCAGAGCTGGCGTTGCGTGCCTGTATAGCAGTTGCTAAATTAGACTGTAAAATGGAGCTCATACATTTTCGAAGAAATGGGGTAAATTTTGGATAAACCTTCTACATTGAATAGTCTTTTAAAATGTTTAATAAATGTAAGGACGATAGACCAAGGATTTAAATGTAACATGTCAACGTATATTGGATTTGAGCAATCGGCAAGAAGAATGTGATGAAATTCTTGAACAAAAATTTCGGCTTGGTGTCCAGCCTCTGCGTGTGAGGGTAGAATTTGAAATTTGCCAAAAGAAGTAGGACAATGGGGTGTCGGAAGGAACTAAATTGACTCAGAATGGAATTCGGTGACTGGAGGCACACTGAATGAACCGTACAGCTTATAAATGTGTTCTGCACTGCCGTCAGCTTCACAAAAACTGCAGAGATTATTAAATTAAATGTTGCTTTAGTCAGAACAAATGTATTTCACACTTTGCAACCGGGAATTTACCGTGTTTGCCATACGTAATCAATCTCTCTTGCTTTAAAATTGTTGCAAGAAATACACCGAAATTAATTGAAAAAACAAATTGGCTATTTTGTTTGTACTGTGTTCTTCATCTATAGGATGATACAAGGTTTGGGTACTAATATTTTATATACTAACACCTTCTTTTTAGGATTTCCTTATTGTGTGTTTGTGTAAATATGAATGGGTGAAATGGGAATGAATGGACAATTGAATGGTTGTTACTTACATGAATTTGGGAATGGGACACAATTTCCATTACACAATGCATGGCCGGCAAAAACTACTCAGATGTGGTACACAGCACAAGCAATCGCCACGAAAGTTCTGATATTCCAAATTCATGCTCGGACTTCCACAAAAGTTAAAACATAGTAACTACCTATAAGACTACATGGCATCACAGTGCAGAAGGAATTGGTAAATTATGTGTAACTAATACATTCTGTACACAAAAATATATTTGGTAAAATTGTGATATCTTTTATTACATCTTTTAAGGGATTTGTTGTTGCAGAATAAGTTCTCATGGTAATGGAATTGAAATTGCTTTTTTTATATTCACTGAATACATAAGTGCTTGTGTAAAATAATCCCTTTAAAACATTTAATCCATTTGGTATGATAGGTTGGTGTGCCTATTTGATTGTACAAAAGATAACTGCGAATTCTGCATTTTATTAGAAGTTATTTTGCTTCCCTCTGCCTTGTAAGTAACAGACTGATGGATGGGCATAGCAGGTAAATAGAAATTCTTTAGTATTAATGAGAATATGTCAAACAACATTACCGTTTGCAACAAACTAGATACATTCAGTCCTGCCATATTTTTACTGTGCTGGATTGATTTTAAATTTAACAGAATACCAGTATCTTGTACAATAAATATGTACCATAACACATGTTTCTTATGTTGTGCCTGGTTTGTTTGTGCCGTACTTGCATTTGTCTCTGTTGATTTTGCATAGATACTAGATTAGATATTAAGGTTATAAAAATTGTGTAATTTTATCTTAACTTCTTTTATATATATATATATATATATATATATATATATTAGAACATGCAGCTTTCACGTTCTTCGAGATTGGTTTAATTAGTGCAAAACGTTTCAAACAAATGCTTATTTGATAATCAAAAAATCATAAATCTAGTGCTTCAAAAAGTTTGATAGATGCGTAAGAAAATTTGGCGAGAATAGTTTGAATTCCGTGTTAGATTTATGAATTGTACAGGTACTTTGTGAATCGGTCGAGAAGTCGTCAATCATACTGAAATACATCGTGAGTTATAAAACTTGGCTAGGCTAAGAAAATTGTTTCATTAATAACGTGTTCAGAGCGGATTTTTTTTTCACTGTCGAGGCAATGTAATGATTGAAAAGTAGTGTTTGAAAGAATTCTATTATCTGCTTTTTAAATTTTTATTATACACATCGAAGTAAAGTGATCAGTTCAGAGTATGAAATATGTAGGCAACGAATGTGCTAAGAGTAAATTCAGTGCATCGATTCCGAAAGTGCTTCAAGCTCACAGTGCTTCGAATGGAGTTTCTACTCCATATATATGGCAAATATGCTAAATGTGTGTGAAGTGCAAAGTGTAAATCAGCTTGTAGTCAGTGCTCCCATGTGCATCAATATCCCCCCCCCCTTCATCAGCTTCAACAAAACTACAAGCTTCAGTAACTGCAAATCGTCCGCTGCTGAGCGACAGGATCAAACTGGACACAATGTCACGGGAAAAAGTTAAGTGGTTATTGCAGTCTCCCCGTTGCTTACCACTCAGTAAGGGTCGTTGGCTGAATCATTTAGAAAAGCACAAACTACATCTGTCTTAGAGTCGTAGGGTTTTGTAGTATGTAAGCGTTAAGCGAGCAGCCTGTATTTCCAGAGACATCACTACATAATTAAGGAAGTGCTTCTTGTGTCATCGTGTATTGCCCCCCACCCCAAACAATGTTAGGTACACGAAGTGTTAGGTTGTTAGATGTATTTAGATATAGTACCGTGCCAATGTACTGGGCCACATTGGTAGAGTAGTGTGTCCACAGGCTGCATAAAGCTTAACACCCTGTGGCTCAGCCAATGTCCGAGGGAAGCAACACACACGGAGAGGTCACGAAGAGACACATCAAATTATTCGAGAAGCCTTTGGTCATTTTGTTGTTGATACAAGCTACGTTCTCATACAGAACTCGGTCGTTATTTGAGAAGATTTTCAAAGATAAAGTTACGCTATAAATCGGCTTTAAATGGTTAAATATTCATGTTCGGATTTGGTATAATATGAAGTTGACACAACTTAATAAGAAATCGGATAAGCGCTTCGTTCAGAAGGCAGAATCATCGTGAATGTAATTAAGTAAATAGCCTCTACAATTTCGAGGCTATCAGAATGTGTAAGCTGTGGCCTCTTCTACATAGAATTGTTTAGCATGCACCAGGGACTAGAGTTCACACGTTGATACTCGTCACTTGTTTTCAGGTGATCGAGTGACGTAAGACTCTAACCTATTAGTACCCTTAGCATAAGGTAGATGCGTTTCCACCGTAACTCAAATGTCGAGAGGAAAATGTATTCATAATGTTTCTAACTTTTCCAAAATCATCTCTTATTAAAATCTGCTTACATTCAC